GCGCCCGGCCCCACTTTTTATATTTTTAGTAAAGACGGGGTTTCACCATGTTAGCCAGGCTGGTCCAGACCTCCTGACCTCGTGATCTGCCTGCCTCAGCCTCCCAAAGCACTGGGATTACAGGCATGAGCCACCATGCCCAGTCTATGTATTTTTTAAATGTTCCGATAATTTCCGACTTACAGAGGAGCGACAGAAACAGCACAGAATCCCCCTGCACCTTCTCCGAACCTCTTTCAGTTCATGTCTGTCTTTGTTTTTTGAGATGGAGCCTCGCTCTGTCACCCAGGCTGGAGTGCAGTGACGCCACGTCAGCTCACTGCAACTTCCGACCCCTGGGTTTAAGTGATTCTCCTGCCTCACCTCCTGAGTAGCTGGGATTACAGGCGTGTGCCACCACGCCCAGCTAATTTTTAGTAGAGATGGGGGTTTCAACATGTTGGTCAGGCTGGTCTCGAACTCCTGACCTTGTGGTCTGCCTGCCTCCACCTCCCAAAGTGCTGGGATCACAGGCATAAGCCACCGCACGCAGCTAGTTCACGTCTTTCGTGAATGCAAATGTTATGGACACCGAGATGTAGCCTTGGTGCTACTCTAGTAACAGAATTGCCAGACATGGTCAGACGCCCCTGGGTTTTCCACTCAGGTCCTCGCTGAGGTCCACGGCCCTGTCCGGCAACCAACATGGTATTTAGCCACTCAGGTCCTTAGCCGAGTCTAGTCTGAGGCTGTTCCTCCATCTGGCTTTGTCCTTCATGACCTTGCCTCTCTGATGAGCACTCACTGGTCAGGTGTTTTGTGGAAGGCACCTGAGTACATGTTCGTCCTGTGCGCTCTCATGATCAGATGGGGCTTCAGCGTCTCTGCTCAGTAGCCCAGGGCTGGCCTCCAAGCATCAGGTCGGGAGGCAGGCGCCGTCGGTGCCTCTCACTGCCAGGCTTTGACCTTGATCCTTTGGCTAAGCTGTTGTCGGCTGGGGCTCCCCCTGTGGTTACCCTCCTCCCCTCGGTGTTACTGAGCTGTGGGGGCTTTCAGGCTCTGCGTCTGCATGGATACTTTGAGTTTCCAAGGAGGCTTCTGCCCGTTCATTTATGCTGCCGTCAGTGATGGGGTTGGGGGTAGATTTTTAATGCCTCTTGGGTGGTGGCTGGGATCATTGCTGGAAGGTTCTAGGGGCTCAGGAGTGTGAGTGGCCTGGGTACCTGCCATCAGCTTGTCCTCCGTGCTCCGCCTGTCTTGGGCAGGATGGAGTTGGGGGCAGTCGGGGAGGCAGTGCGGTTGTGGGAGCCCAGGACCCCACTGAGCGCACCCGTTTCGCAGCCTGAGCGGCGCATCCCCGTTCCTGGGCGAGACTAAGCAGGAGACGCTCACCAACATCTCGGCTGTGAACTACGACTTTGACGAGGAATACTTCAGCAACACCAGCGAGCTGGCCAAGGACTTCATTCGCCGGCTGCTCGTCAAAGATCCCAAGTATGGGGGCTGGGCAGGGGCGCGGGGCGGGACGTGGGACATGGGACATGGGCCCTTTCCACCTGTGGAGGCTCCAGAGGCCTCTCCTCCTAGCGCCACCTCCCTGCGCTGGAAATTGGGCATGGCTTCCCGGTTGGGCCGGAGAGCGCAAACTGCTGGCTAAAGTTAGCCCTCACTGTGGATTTTTTTTTTTTTTGAGTGGGAGTCTTGCTCTGTTGCCCAGGCTGGAGTGCAGTGGTGCCGTCTAGGCTCACTGCAACCTCTGCCTCCCGGGTTCAAGTGATTCTCACACCTCATCCTCCTGAGTAGCTGGGATTACAGGCACTGCCATGCTCAGCTAAGTTTTGTATTTTTTTTCAGTAGAGACGGGGTTTCACTGTGTTCGCCTCGCTGGCCTTGAACTCCTAACCTCAGGTGATCTGTCTGCCTTGGCCTCCCAGAATGCTGGGATTACAGGCATGAGCCACCATGCCCAACCTTGCTTGTTGTGTTTTTAACAAACTTTTAATTAGTTACCAGTGTGTAGAATCAGGGTCCATGTGAAATTCCAGCTGGCTTGTTTCCCTGTAAACACTCAGCGCTGAGTCCTCACTCGCAGCCTCCCTGGGCCTCCTCAGCCACCAGTCCCTCTCACAGGCGCTTGGGTTTGCGACTGCAGCCTGAGGTCTCAGCTCTCTTCACCACCCCGCGGAAAACCCTGCGCTCCTTGCAGTCCCCTTGTTCAGCTTCTGCGGTTGACTGAGCAGACGCTGGGGGGTGACTGTAGGGCTTTCGGGGGTCCTGGGAGTCAGTAGTCTGTGGGAGGACAGGACAGATGGCGCAGGTGTAACTAACCAGGGCTGGGGCCTTCCAGGCGGAGAATGACCATTGCCCAGAGCCTGGAACATTCCTGGATTAAGGTAAGGAGAGCAGGGGTTCCCTGGAATTTCCGCCTTGGCCTTCTCGCCAGGGTCCTGGTGGCCATTAGCATTTAAGGCATGTGGCTGTGACACCCCCAGTGGCTGGGGAGGGTCCCCAGAGGAGTGGGCCTGGGTGTTGGGGGTCATCGAACTGGGAGGTGTTGGAGCTCAGGTCTTGAGTGTGGGATGTTGCCACCCCACAGACTTGGTGGCACCCTTGGCTGGTCTGTGTCCAGCGTGGCAGACTTCCCCGGGGATGCCTAGGCCGGCTTTTCTCCAGTCGGTACTTTTGGCTTTACGTTGGGCCGGAGAGTCTCTGTCGCGAGGCCTCGACTCCGCTGCCAGATGAGCCACTGAACCTCAGTTCACTCTGGCAGATGGGGGTGGCAGGGCTGGATGTCACTGCAGACACCCAGCTCAGGCCTCCCTCTCCCCCAGGCGATCCGGCGGCGCAACGTGCGTGGTGAAGACAGCGGCCGCAAGCCGGAGCGGCGGCGCCTGAAGACCACGCGGCTGAAGGAGTACACCATCAAGTCGCACTCCAGCATGCCGCCCAACAACAGCTACGCCAACTTCGAGCGCTTCTCCAAGGTGCTGGAAGAGGTGGCGGCAGCCGAGGAGGGCTTGCGTGAGCTGGAGCGCAGCCGGCGGCTCTGCCACGAGGACGTGGAGACGCTGGCCGCCATCTACGAGGAGAAGGAAGCCTGGTACCGCGAGGAGAGCGACAGCCTGGGCCAGGACCTGCGGCGGCTGCGGCAGGAGCTGCTCAAGACCGAGGCGCTCAAGCGCCAGGCGCAGGAGGAGGCCAAGGGCGCGCTGCTGGGGACCAGTGGCCTAAAGCGCCGCTTCAGCCGCCTGGAGAACCGCTACGAGGCGCTGGCCAAGCAGGTGGCCTCCGAGATGCGCTTCGTGCAGGACCTGGTGCGCGCCCTGGAGCAGGAGAAGCTGCAGGGCGTGGAGTGCGGGCTGCGCTAGGCACACGGGTAGGCCGGGCCCTGGGACAGCTGGAGCTCAGCCTGGGGTGGGGGCGCCTCCTGTGGACACTGCTCCTCCTCCCGTCGCCCCCGTTCCAGCCCTTCCCCAGCGCCCCCAGCCTGGAGGTGGAGTGGGAGCAGCTGGCCCGTAGGTTCGTAAGTTCGCAGGCAGGGGTGGGTGTGGGACAGGGTTGCTTCTCTGTGCAGCTTCTACAGTGGCCCTCCTTGTTCCTGCGTCGTTGGTGACACCGGGCAGCGCGGCCTTGGGCGCTGTGAGGGTTGGGACCCAGGACTGGACCAGCCGCTGTGCTGCCAAGACAACAGTGGCCCGAGTGCAGCCCTGGTCCAGGCCTGGAGGAGGGAGGAGGGTTCTCAGGCAGTTCGGAGGGGTGCCGCCTGCTGCCGCCTCTAGCCCAGGAGGAGGTTGTGGGATGGGGAGGGGAGGGCGGATGGCGGGCTGGAACCCAGCTGGAACTGCTGCTGGGTGGCGCCAGGCTTTGGGACCTGCAGAGGGCTTGGTGGGGTCTTCCGCCGTGTGCCCTCCCAGCTGAGGCCCGTCCCCCGAGTGTGGAGGTCCCTTGCCTCGGACCCCTGCATGAGCCCCATTTTGTCACGCTTGAGCACAGCTAGGCAAGAGTGGCCCGCTGCGGCCAAGAGAAATAAAACCTTGGCTTCCTGATACTCGGGCGTGTTCTGTGCTTCAGGCCTTGGCAGGGGACAGCCAGCCCATGGTCACCAGGCATGTGCCTTCCGAGGCTCTCATGTTTCTCTCTGTGTCCCCAGCCTGCTGCTGTGCTCCTCTGGAAGAAGAGAACAATCCTGGGGGCCTTGCAGACCCACACGGTATCCTGGGAGTTGCTGGATCTTGGTCTCAGCCGCCCCTGGGTGTTTTGATTGCAATGAGACGGGAACTCTGGGCAGCTGAGGTAGATCAGAGGTGTTTCCTGTCCCCTTGGGTCCTGCGGGATTCTGCCGCGTCCCACGTGGGAGCCCCTGCCTTGCCTGGAGCCACATGCAGGTGGCCTTGGAGCAGGAGCGGCTCAGCTAAGCTGCTGGGTCTGACATGAGGTTTCAGAGAGGAAGAGGGGCCCCGACCCTGCCCATCCTCCCTGGAGGAGGTGGTTCTTTTTTTTTTTTTCTTCTGATATGTAGTCTTGCTCTGCCACCCAGGCTGGATGATCTTGGCACACAGCAATGTCCGCCTCCTGGGTTCCAGGGATTCTCCTTTCTGAGCCTCCCAAGTTGCTGGGATTACAGGCACCCACCACCACACTTGGCCAATTTTTGTATTTTTAATAGAGGCAGGTTTTCACCATGTGGGTCAGGCTGGTCTTGAACTCCTGACCTCAGGTGATTTACCTGCCTTGGTCTCCCAAAGTGCTGGGATTATAGGCATGCGCCACTGCGCTCAGCCCGTTATTTTTTTAGCTTTCAATTTTTTTCATTGAGACACGATTTACGTACCCTAAAATCTTCTTTTTAAAGTGTACAATTTAGTGGTTTTAGCACATTCACAGAGGCAGGAAAATGTGCATCCACACAAAGACTTGTATGTGAGCTAGGCGTGGTGGGGCTGCCTGTGGTCCCAGCTACTCAGGAGGCTGAGGCAGGAGGATCACTTGAGCCCTGGGGGTGGAGGCTGCAGTGAATTGTGATCCTGCCACTGCACTGCAGCTTGGGTGACAGAGCAACACTTTGTCTCATAAAGAAAGAAATGCGTAGTGCATCTCGTGGTGCCAGCAAGAAGCATGTTAAGACAGTGGACCAGACGTGCCTTCCTCTTCCCGCCCATCTTATCTGGCCCCGTGGGCAGCATGGATGCTTTAGAACTCCCAAGGGTTGCCGGGCGCGGTGGCTCAAGCCTGTAATCCCAGCACTTTGGGAGGCCGAGGCGGGTGGATCACAAGGTCAAGAGATCGAGACCATCCTGGTCAACATGGTGAAACCCCGTCTCTACT